AATCTTCCAACTGAACCATAGCTAAGGTTTATCCAAAAAAGTCGCTAGGTTTGTCAGTATGAATATTCTATGGGAAAAAATGCTAAAAGGGTCTGAAAGTTGCTAAATCTAGTCGCGCTCGTGTGTGTGTGAGACGCGGGAGCTGATGGCAGGGAGCGGTGGATATTTGTGGCGGTCAATGTGGATATTGTGGATGAGTTCTTCTGCGTCATCACGTTCTATTAGTTCTACAGCTTCAGTTTCGGAACTTTCACGCTTAGTAACACATTCAGCTGTTCCCTCAACACAGTGCAACAGTGAAAAGGGACCCCTTTCAAACAGTGTCGCGTTCTGAACGTTGTTTAAGCGACATACACCGGTATTGCGGTATTTTAAAAATTCATATCATAACAAAAATAAACACCGGTATTCGGTATGAACCGGTATACTGCCCAGCACTACTGCAGAGTAGACGAGTTTCCTATTCAGTGTGATGATGATACACCTAGGCACTTGTTAGAAACATAAATGATTCTCTGGAAACATAAATGCTTTAAACGTGTAGGGTATTACTGATGTATGTTATGGTGTCGAAAAAAACGTGTTTTTAACCACAAATCTTATTTTAGGCATTTAAAAAAAGGCATTGACTTTGGGACAACCAAACTGGGTTTCTGGGTTTTCAGACTCGTTTCTGCAGCCATCTATTGTGTTAAAAACAGAATCATAAACAAACATAAATTGTGCCTGGTTTTGTTCCCAAACACAGTGTTGTCCCACTGACCTGTGCTCTGGACACATCTGAGCACGCACCACAGATGAGCTCACGGGGATCATAATCGTCACCTTGTCCTGCCTCGGCATCACAGCGAGCTTCTCCCCCAAAATAGGCCTGGATGAGTCAGAAGTCACACTGTTAGCACAACAGCTGGAGAAATGGCTTCGTTATGGCAGTCTAAATCTCATTTCATGCTGGCAAATAGCTCTTGCTCTACAGGAGTGAGCTGCGTTTAATCATTTTTGCCAACCATGTTTTTCCATTCTATTCACAGTAAACAGAGACATCCTTAAAGGGACAGTTCACTCAAACCCAACTGTTCTCTTTCTGAAAGCTTCCTTGGCCATAATATACAAGGACGATTGTTTCAAACCACTGCTTCTGTGCTCCACTGAAGGTTTGTGAACACCACAGAAAACAAACAAGACTCGTGAAGATCGAACCTTTTTGCACTTGAAGCAGACGTAGTAAGCATATCTGTTCATGGCAAATCCAGCGGGGTTGTTGTAGAATCGAGCTCCAGACATTGTGATGGCTTCACTCTTGTGCAGTCCTTCATACTCCAGTCTCATTAAAGCCTTTCTCCTCACGTCCTCATACAGCTCTTTGATGGGCTCGAGCAGATCTTTTAGGACAGAGTGGTTTATTTTGTTCTAAAAAGAAACGCGGAAACAGGAAAGACACGCATTCAAATTTCAGGCACATCAACTGTTAGATATCATGAGCAGCATCTTGTTAGAGGAATGAAGGAAGAGTTCAGACTGGCTTTGGTTCATAAACAACAGAGAGGTAAAAATGATTGGAGAAGTCTGACGTATGTAAGAGAAGACTGACATTCTACTGGGATATCTTTGTGATTATGAAAGGTCAAAATAAATAAATAAACAATTCTAAGAAAATAAAAACAAAAAGCAAATCTATGCATGGATGAAATGTTTACAATCAGAGAAATAACATTACATGCCTTACATGCAAACGTACATCAGAATTCTTCACCAAAAATGTAAATTCTGTCATTGTTTAGTCACTTGAACATTCTTCAAAAACTTCTCCTTTCATGGTTTAGAACATAATGGTGAATAAATGACAGAACATTCACTTTCTAGATGAATTATTCAATTAACCAGGGGGAAAAACGAATTGTGATTTTTGCAATTATTTTTTTTATGGCAATTTAAAATGTCATTTTTTTTTTTCACGTTTGCTGTTTTGTTGTTGCAGAGCTGTACAATTTGGCCAAATTTTTTTTTTATTCTAAAATATTAATTATTATAATTTATATTATTATTTTATTAGGATTACAATATTACATTGTAAGATGAAACAAACTAAGAACAATTACTATTGTTCCACTATTATTTCATCAAGTAAAAATTCAAGTATTTAAGAAAAATAATTATTTTAAATTACTGTACAACTGTGAAAATACAATACCAATATGTATGCCTTAATTACTTGACTTTCAAAAGCCCTTGTAGCTTGTCTTTTGTTGCCATTCTCAGTTTGGGAGGTTGGTTGGTGCATGTTGCGTTCCTGAATTAATTCGTTTATTTACTGTGAAGCGAGCTGCCCTGAGACTCTGAAAACACCGGATCATGAGCTGCTCGCGTGTAAATGAACACAGTACTGTCCTTTACTTTGACGCAGTACATATGTCTAATTAAAATGCAATCTTGGCGATTAGATAATCAAACTAAGCAATAGTGTGATTTAGATTTTATTCTGATTACCCACTCAGCCTGACTTTTAACTCAAAGTGAGTCCAGACCAGCTTATTTACCTTGCAAATAGGGCAAGACATGAACCCGAAGGTTATCCTGGGCCCAAGCCAGCGGTTCTCCAGAACCCTTCTTGTGCACTGAAGATGGAACACGTGACTGCAGTCCAGCTGCAAATAAACCAGGACAGACAGTTACACGCTGACCTCCTGTATGTATGTAACTCTATATCCTCTATATGCCATCACACACAGTGACAGTATTCTTCTACTCTACCTGGATTGCTGGAGCAGCAGACAGAGCCTCAGTGAAGCAAATCATACACATATCATCAGCATCCTGTTTCAGACAGGCTGCGGTTTTGTCACAACTATGTAAACAGGGCAGACACAGCTCTTCATTTTTGACCCCTCCACACGGGTGACCGCACAGATGAGTCTTACTGCAGGCCAGCTTTGCATACTCCTACACAACAGTTAAAATACACAAGTATGCTTACGAGATCACTGAATTCCAGGAAAACATTTCACAGTGTAAAAAAAGCAGATCATTCTGCCAAAAAAGTGGCATTTTGAGTGAATACCTGACAGTCTTGGTCTGAACATACACTTCCTACTGCAGACAGCTCTGTGCCGTTCCTGGTGCCACAGAAGCGGCAGACGTCTGAACTGCTGGAAGCTGGTTTCCCTGAAGGACAGAACAATAATGCCATTTAAGCTATAACTAGCAATAAAATAAAGCCACTATTCAAATAAAGAGGAATACTGGAAATAGGACGCACCACAGCTGTGGCCTAGCGGTTAGCGGTTAGAAATTATGCAGGCCTCAGGGCAAAAATGCCACCAAAAGTGACAGAAATGCCACAGATATTTAAATAGTGGGGGGAAAAGCATCCTTGTTGTGAATTGCTCTGTTTTTTTTAATCTGTTATCTAACATTTAACATGCATTTATGTTAGGCTGTAGTGATGGGTTTAGTCCCTTTGTTGTGACCTGTAGCTGTATTTACAGTCTCAGAGGCAAGTTTAGTTGACTGTGTAAGATTAATAATAAAAAAACAAACAAACAAAAAAAAACAGCAATGAAAACCCTGAATGTGAAGAAAACACTTCAAAAAGCTTGAAACAGTCAATATATAAGAATCTACAGTAAGAGCTGTCACGTAACAGTGTTCTCAAATCTTGTAAGTTACTTACAGCTAATTTTATATAGGATTTGATTTTATAGCCAACAGGCATAACTGCTCTGACTGAGAATTTAATATACTTTACATTTATGCATTTGACGAATTGCATTTAAGGTACACACTTGATGACTTGGGAATCAATCCCATGACCTTGGGCATAACTAGCGCCATTCTCTACAGTTTGAGGTTTTGCAAAATAAGGGCCAATTTTACCAAACAGAGCAAATTAGCGCGAGAGCGCAATTCCAAAACAGCGCCGATGGGCGTGGAAATTTCTGTGGGTGATTTACTAACAATACGCAAAATAAAGAACACAGACGCAACATCTCATTTACATATTGATTAACGCAATATACCAAGCGCAGCGCAAATTACCGTAGTTAAAATAAAGAAATAAAGAAGCCACAGTACGTTGAAAAGAACCGGAGGCCAAAAAATGAAGGTTTGCTAGAAGTTTTGATAGACCTGGTATTGCGTGACTCCTAGTTGAGGGTTCCAAGTCGTCTTTTATTTCCTGAAGCAAATTAAAAATAGCATGGCTTGGCAAACAATATGATATGCAAACGAAATGTGGTGTTCTGGCATTCCAAATAAATTAATACGTGTGGAAAAAATCCTCTCCCTTCTACCACGCGCTCTCTGTTCTCTGCGGTGCCTCCTCCTAGCAACAATAACTGCAGCCATTTCAAGCGCAAAACCGTTTAAAACATGCTTTTCTTTTGGACGTTAAATAATGGCACAAATGCCAGTAATTTGACGAGCGCAAACATTAGTAAAACGTGTTGTGTGATTCATTTGAATACTCTCCTCCCATAAATTTAGCATCTGAAAGGGAAACTCCTATAAAAGCATATTCAATAAGGTCAGGCGCAAAAATAACTGTCCACGCCTTTTCAGCGCTAAATCGTCACTGCGTGTTTTCAGTAAAACCTGAAAGTACAATTTTAACGACAAAAGACGGTTTGCGCTAGCGCAAGCTGTTAGTAAAATTGGCCCTATAGCTCTAAAAACATACAAAAGGAACACTGCAGTGTTTATATGGACAAAGTTTGAGTCCCGTTTGCAGCATTCACATTTCCCCTTCTTCTCTCTACATTATTAAACATTATTACAGGAAGAGGAAGTCACCTGTGTGCTCACGGAACTCCACCATGGCCTTCATGGTCTTAGAGTCGGCCAATGCCATGAGCCAAAAGAGTTTGGTTCTACCACAGCCTTCATGTAGGTCCACCTTAATGGCCTCTTCCTCCTCCTTAAAGACCTGCACACAACATGAAATGTGTTATGAGAAACTTTAAATGGTACCATATTTTTTAAAGCACCATTAACTGTCCCCTGTGAGTATTTTGAACAACATGATGTCATATGTACAACTAGCCAACAATTACACGATTCTTGATTCCCAACCCTGGTCATGGAGTATAATTGATCGATGATTAGTTGTGTGTGAGTGTTCAGGTTCACCTGTCTCTGGTGGGTCCGTGTGCGGCGGTGGAGATGGAGGAAGCGGTCGCAGTCGGTGCACAGGTTTCCACAAGCATTACACAGAATGATGGCTGCCGTCTCCCCGTCGTCATGGTTATCACACATGGGCTGAGAATTAAACGTCAGGGTTAAGAGGTATTCATACTCCAGTCTCATTAAAGCCTTTCTCCTCACGTCCTCATACAGCTCTTTGATGGGCTCCAGCAGATCTTTTAGGACAGAGTGGTTTATTTTGTTCTAAAAAGAAACGCGGAAACAGGAAAGACACGCATTCAAATTTCAGGCACATCAACTGTTAGATATCATGAGCAGCATCTTGTTAGAGGAATGAAGGAAGAGTTCAGACTGGCTTTGGTTCATAAACAACAGAGAGGTAAAAATGATTGGAGAAGTCTGACGTATGTAAGAGAAGACTGACATTCTACTGGGATATCTTTGTGATTATGAAAGGTCAAAATAAATAAATAAACAATTCTAAGAAAATAAAAACAAAAAGCAAATCTATGCATGGATGAAATGTTTACAATCAGAGAAATAACATTACATGCCTTACATGCAAACGTACATCAGAATTCTTCACCAAAAATGTAAATTCTGTCATTGTTTAGTCACTTGAACATTCTTCAAAAACTTCTCCTTTCATGGTTTAGAACATAATGGTGAATAAATGACAGAACATTCACTTTCTAGATGAATTATTCAATTAACCAGGGGGAAAAACGAATTGTGATTTTTGCAATTATTTTTTTTATGGCAATTTAAAATGTCATTTTTTTTTTTCACGTTTGCTGTTTTGTTGTTGCAGAGCTGTACAATTTGGCCAAATTTTTTTTTTATTCTAAAATATTAATTATTATAATTTATATTATTATTTTATTAGGATTACAATATTACATTGTAAGATGAAACAAACTAAGAACAATTACTATTGTTCCACTATTATTTCATCAAGTAAAAATTCAAGTATTTAAGAAAAATAATTATTTTAAATTACTGTACAACTGTGAAAATACAATACCAATATGTATGCCTTAATTACTTGACTTTCAAAAGCCCTTGTAGCTTGTCTTTTGTTGCCATTCTCAGTTTGGGAGGTTGGTTGGTGCATGTTGCGTTCCTGAATTAATTCGTTTATTTACTGTGAAGCGAGCTGCCCTGAGACTCTGAAAACACCGGATCATGAGCTGCTCGCGTGTAAATGAACACAGTACTGTCCTTTACTTTGACGCAGTACATATGTCTAATTAAAATGCAATCTTGGCGATTAGATAATCAAACTAAGCAATAGTGTGATTTAGATTTTATTCTGATTACCCACTCAGCCTGACTTTTAACTCAAAGTGAGTCCAGACCAGCTTATTTACCTTGCAAATAGGGCAAGACATGAACCCGAAGGTTATCCTGGGCCCAAGCCAGCGGTTCTCCAGAACCCTTCTTGTGCACTGAAGATGGAACACGTGACTGCAGTCCAGCTGCAAATAAACCAGGACAGACAGTTACACGCTGACCTCCTGTATGTATGTAACTCTATATCCTCTATATGCCATCACACACAGTGACAGTATTCTTCTACTCTACCTGGATTGCTGGAGCAGCAGACAGAGCCTCAGTGAAGCAAATCATACACATATCATCAGCATCCTGTTTCAGACAGGCTGCGGTTTTGTCACAACTATGTAAACAGGGCAGACACAGCTCTTCATTTTTGACCCCTCCACACGGGTGACCGCACAGATGAGTCTTACTGCAGGCCAGCTTTGCATACTCCTACACAACAGTTAAAATACACAAGTATGCTTACGAGATCACTGAATTCCAGGAAAACATTTCACAGTGTAAAAAAAGCAGATCATTCTGCCAAAAAAGTGGCATTTTGAGTGAATACCTGACAGTCTTGGTCTGAACATACACTTCCTACTGCAGACAGCTCTGTGCCGTTCCTGGTGCCACAGAAGCGGCAGACGTCTGAACTGCTGGAAGCTGGTTTCCCTGAAGGACAGAACAATAATGCCATTTAAGCTATAACTAGCAATAAAATAAAGCCACTATTCAAATAAAGAGGAATACTGGAAATAGGACGCACCACAGCTGTGGCCTAGCGGTTAGCGGTTAGAAATTATGCAGGCCTCAGGGCAAAAATGCCACCAAAAGTGACAGAAATGCCACAGATATTTAAATAGTGGGGGGAAAAGCATCCTTGTTGTGAATTGCTCTGTTTTTTTTAATCTGTTATCTAACATTTAACATGCATTTATGTTAGGCTGTAGTGATGGGTTTAGTCCCTTTGTTGTGACCTGTAGCTGTATTTACAGTCTCAGAGGCAAGTTTAGTTGACTGTGTAAGATTAATAATAAAAAAACAAACAAACAAAAAAAAACAGCAATGAAAACCCTGAATGTGAAGAAAACACTTCAAAAAGCTTGAAACAGTCAATATATAAGAATCTACAGTAAGAGCTGTCACGTAACAGTGTTCTCAAATCTTGTAAGTTACTTACAGCTAATTTTATATAGGATTTGATTTTATAGCCAACAGGCATAACTGCTCTGACTGAGAATTTAATATACTTTACATTTATGCATTTGACGAATTGCATTTAAGGTACACACTTGATGACTTGGGAATCAATCCCATGACCTTGGGCATAACTAGCGCCATTCTCTACAGTTTGAGGTTTTGCAAAATAAGGGCCAATTTTACCAAACAGAGCAAATTAGCGCGAGAGCGCAATTCCAAAACAGCGCCGATGGGCGTGGAAATTTCTGTGGGTGATTTACTAACAATACGCAAAATAAAGAACACAGACGCAACATCTCATTTACATATTGATTAACGCAATATACCAAGCGCAGCGCAAATTACCGTAGTTAAAATAAAGAAATAAAGAAGCCACAGTACGTTGAAAAGAACCGGAGGCCAAAAAATGAAGGTTTGCTAGAAGTTTTGATAGACCTGGTATTGCGTGACTCCTAGTTGAGGGTTCCAAGTCGTCTTTTATTTCCTGAAGCAAATTAAAAATAGCATGGCTTGGCAAACAATATGATATGCAAACGAAATGTGGTGTTCTGGCATTCCAAATAAATTAATACGTGTGGAAAAAATCCTCTCCCTTCTACCACGCGCTCTCTGTTCTCTGCGGTGCCTCCTCCTAGCAACAATAACTGCAGCCATTTCAAGCGCAAAACCGTTTAAAACATGCTTTTCTTTTGGACGTTAAATAATGGCACAAATGCCAGTAATTTGACGAGCGCAAACATTAGTAAAACGTGTTGTGTGATTCATTTGAATACTCTCCTCCCATAAATTTAGCATCTGAAAGGGAAACTCCTATAAAAGCATATTCAATAAGGTCAGGCGCAAAAATAACTGTCCACGCCTTTTCAGCGCTAAATCGTCACTGCGTGTTTTCAGTAAAACCTGAAAGTACAATTTTAACGACAAAAGACGGTTTGCGCTAGCGCAAGCTGTTAGTAAAATTGGCCCTATAGCTCTAAAAACATACAAAAGGAACACTGCAGTGTTTATATGGACAAAGTTTGAGTCCCGTTTGCAGCATTCACATTTCCCCTTCTTCTCTCTACATTATTAAACATTATTACAGGAAGAGGAAGTCACCTGTGTGCTCACGGAACTCCACCATGGCCTTCATGGTCTTAGAGTCGGCCAATGCCATGAGCCAAAAGAGTTTGGTTCTACCACAGCCTTCATGTAGGTCCACCTTAATGGCCTCTTCCTCCTCCTTAAAGACCTGCACACAACATGAAATGTGTTATGAGAAACTTTAAATGGTACCATATTTTTTAAAGCACCATTAACTGTCCCCTGTGAGTATTTTGAACAACATGATGTCATATGTACAACTAGCCAACAATTACACGATTCTTGATTCCCAACCCTGGTCATGGAGTATAATTGATCGATGATTAGTTGTGTGTGAGTGTTCAGGTTCACCTGTCTCTGGTGGGTCCGTGTGCGGCGGTGGAGATGGAGGAAGCGGTCGCAGTCGGTGCACAGGTTTCCACAAGCATTACACAGAATGATGGCTGCCGTCTCCCCGTCGTCATGGTTATCACACATGGGCTGAGAATTAAACGTCAGGGTTAAGAGGTAAAGAGCTCATTCTCGGCAGAAGGACTAAATGGACTATTGCACTGATTGTGCTTTATAGCACCCTAGAGGCCTATTAGGCCCAGTGTGCCGTACCATCTGCTTCTGCTGCCCGTCTTTGCCCATCCAGCGTCCTGAAGACAGTCGGTCCACGTGGTCCTGATCCAGCACACATAGAGAGGCCAATGCGAGCCATAGCTGAAGAGGGGAAGTAGAACCATTGGAAATTTACATTCAGGTTCTTATATATATCCAGGTTTTCTATGACAGTGGGTGCCCTGTTCATTTTCATCTAGATAATAAAATTAACCAAGTGATATTTAGTTGTGCTGCTGACCCATATCAGATCACATGACTGGTAAACTCCACCCGCCAATCACCCCTGATCCTCCAGCTGAAGGATCCCGAGTAATACTGACCTAGTTGGCAAATGTACAGTTGTGACAGATGAAGTGTGTGCAGTGAGTCGTACCCGAGTGGTGGCGATGCAGCGCACCGGACAGCGATGCTCCTCTTCCATCTTAGTGAGCGCAATGATGGTCTCAGCAATAGCATTCTTAGTCACCCTGGACCAGGCATCCGAGAGGTGGCCCTGGGGTAAAAAGACACTTAAATGGGGAGGGACCATTTCTGTAAATGTAGCAAAACTAGGACTGCCAGTTTAACACGTTAACCTAATTAGTTATGAAAAAAAAAACGCGATTAAAATATTTTACTGCAGTTAACGCACTGGCCCCGCCCCCAGACCCGTACGTCATCTTACATTTCATACAGTTGTAAAATATGACACAGGGCAACAACTCTGTAAATGCATTTATGTCCTAAAATTCTAGATATTGTGGCAAAAAATGCCCCTGTATGAGTTTCTGTCTCATATTTATATCACATGATAAGCGATATCACACGAGCAGCGAGAGCAATATTACACGACTGCTGTTTATGTCCGAATACCACAAGTTTAAATGTGATTTTATACAACAGTTCAGTAAAGTTAATATTGTGTTATATTTTAAACACAATATTGTCTGTTTTTGCTCAATTTTGCAGAGAAAATATTACCCTTAAAGACACTGCAGAATTGTTGTGCGTCTCAGAGCAAAACAGCGGTGATTCTTTTCTGAATGAATCCGCGTTCTGAATCGAATGAATGAATGACTCAAAAACACATTTACCGCCACCTGCTGGCAGTGTTAGTTTAAAGCAGGGGTCGGCAACCTATGGCTCCCCCGCCACACCCTGAATTATACATCACTAGAGATCAGCAATTCATTGGTTGTAGAGACTACATAAGCTGATAAAAGGTTTAGAATAATAATAATTTTTTTGTAATGAAAAGTGCGCGTTCAGTGCTGTTCACGAGAGTCACGACAGCAAACTGGTAACGTAGAGCTAATAAACTCAGATTCAAGTTGCTACGTAGCTTGTTTGTGGTAATAGCGAAAAGAAAGATTTTTTTGAACAGCAGAAAAAGTGTAAATGTAAAAAAAAAAAAAATGAAGGAGGGTTTTTACTAGTACGTTTGAAGTTACATTGATATGGGGTTTGAATTTTTAAACAGCAGAAAAAGTTTAAATGTAAAAAAGTGACAGGACTGAAACATATACTTTGTTTTATAGAAGATGGTGTTCTCCTGTGCCAAGAGCCAGTATGAAACATTTTGGTTACTTTCGCTTTTTCCGCGCAGCTTTCAGTGGGTGGGACTGTTAGTGTTATTAATAAAGGAACGTGAATGAATGAGACAGTAAAGAGCGGGACTTTCTTGAAGACGGACAGTATTAAAAACTCAAAGCCGCGAAACGGAACTTAATCCGCTTCTGACTGCATGTTTTCTGCGCACGAGGTCCGAGTGGAACACGGAGAAGCATAGACTTTGTCTTTGGTGGCGCGCCTAAAACGGTCAAAACACGGAGTGTCAAAATGCCTGCAACTGGTGTGTATTCACATAAATACGGTCAACATGCACCGTGCATTATTCTTCACTCACTCAGTCTCTCTCTCACACACACACACACACACACACACACACACACACACACACACATAGAGAGAGTGAACTCTGAAGAGAATTCATCCCCCTGTAAATCAACCTCACAGTAAAAGCCCTGCACAATTTTTGACGGTTAGCTGCATATTTGTGTATTTTAGTTTCCATGGTCCTAATAAAGTTACTATTATTATTAAAACGTTATTGAAATAAACAAAGATGTATGTTTGTAGTGTAATTTACAACAGCTTCAAACACGGCTCAGCCAATCAGAATCAAGGACCGGAACTGTCCGTTTTATAATCTTATTTAGAGCATAAGTTCATTCAAAAAAAAAAATATTAAAGGGATAGTTCACCCAAAAAATGTAATTCTGTCATAAATTACCCTCATGTAGTTTCAAACCCATATGACTTTCTTTGTGGAACATAAAAAGGTATTTTGAAGACTGTTGGTAACAAAGCTGTTTTGGTTGATGTTTCTCAAATGATCTTCTTTTATGTTCCATAGTTAATGTTAGGCTGTTGTAGCATAAATGTGTAATAAATTTTATGTTGAATCAAATAAAATATTTATTTCTAAAGGTACTATTTGTAATGTCTACTTGATACTTTCTCATTTAACACAATAATGGCTTTACATTATCTTTTGTGGGTAATTTCACAGCCAAATTTAATTTGCAATTAATCAGATTAATTAATCAACACATCATGTAATTAATTAGATTAAATATTTTAATCGACTAACCGCCCTAATTAAAACGCAACTGCAGGAGATCAGGTTACGCAGTGCAAGATTATATATAATATCATTCATAAACATGCAGCTGAACAGCAAATCTGCTGCATATTGTTAAGACAGAAAAGGCGTCTGGGATAAGATGGGCCATCATTACTCACAGCAGCCATGTCTTTGACGAGTTTAATAATAATCTCAGCGATCTGAGGCGGAGTGGAGCCCTTCATCCACCAGTGACTAATTCCACGCCGTATGTAGCTGCACAAACAGACAAAAATATAAACAAAGTTATTAAATATACATTTCGAAAATGTTAAGACCCTTCATAAGATGATTTCAGACCCTGTGTTTTAAATAACAGCCCTGCATCTTCAAACAAAAATTCTGCTGATTTGCAAAAAAGCCCCAATATTAATTAATTTGATGATGCAGAGTACAAAAATAAGAATTAAAAAAAAGATTTTTATATAAGATATCAAAAGATAATTTTACAAAAGTGATTTTATATACATAGAAAGCATTAAATGCAAGTCAAGTGTCTAATGTTTCACATAACTTTTGTGAAGACAAAATGTGAAAACATGGGTGAAATAATGTTACGTCGTCATTCAGCGTGACAGATTTAGGTAAAAATTATTCAACATACTTATTCTGATCTGTACTTATTAAAACAAGTAAAAGAAAAAGTGGTCATACTACATTTTAAATGATTTAAAACTTATTTAAAATTAAATTTATTTAGTATTTTGAGGCTGCACTGTGCTCCTTAAATGACATCTAATGATTCTTATTTTAAATACACCTATGAACTACTGCTACAGTACATTATATTTTAGTTTGTTTGCTGTAAATCATCACAATAATTTGTTTTTGTTCTGCAAAAATAAATAAACATGACATTCTATTGTACAGGGGGGAAAAAATTAAAGCTGTATAAAACTTTTGTTTTGATGCTTGAAAAACCTTTTCATCTTTGACCCATATATTTATATATCAGCTTTACTGCACTTAGCAAAGTAACAAAAGCCGTAAACTCTCAGAAGTTTTGAATGACAAAAAGCAGTATTCAAAATGTATAATTTACCAAAATCTACAAGAGTGGAAAAAAAATAAAATTTTTGAAGAATTATTCACACAAGTAAAAATAGTCTGTGACAAACTGTTAACAAATAGTTTGAATCTGGCTCAGAGGAAGATAAGAATCATATCTTTGTGGCAGTTTTTCTGGTGATTAAAGGATAATGCAAGATGGTTGTCGAAAGCAAAAATGCTACGAAATGCAGATATTCTGTGAAAAAGTGAAAACATGCTAGAGCAAAAAAAAAAAAAAAGACATTATTTTTGGAATCAACTGCCCAAAATTAGTAAGAAACAAGTATTGGATTTCATTCAGTAAATATGATCCATGTAATTTGAAAATGGCACATGCAAGCAAGCTGACCTTGAGTTGAAGATCATGGGTAGGGTGACTGTAGTGACTCCTTTGCCTGCAGCCATGCCAGCTGTGCCAACTATAGTGGTGCCCTTCGCCTTGAGCTGCACAGTGAGGGCCTTTGCGATGCAGCCCAGAAACATATCTAAAATGCCCAGCTTGGTCCAGTCGCTCTTCTCGGTGGAGTGGATGATGTCACTGATGTCTGCTGGTGGCAGCGCCTTTACGCCGATGACGCTGGCCAGGCGCATGGGAGTGACCTCTGGAAGAACGCGTCTGAGCAGTGACGTCACCTGCGTGGCAAGAACAGTGTTGCATTCCAGATCCTGATTCTAGAAAGTCAAGTTCAAGACTAGCAGTTCTCGATGCGTTCACAAACCTGTCTCTGGACACGTGGCGAGGCGGTGTGAAGGAGGGAGAAGAGGTCCTGCAGTAGGGTGAGCTGCTGGGCCAGGTACTGCCGCCCAACGTTAGATCCACTCAAGGCCAGCACCATAGACAACAGCTCAAAGCAGTAAGCATCAGAGGAGGCGTCGTCGTCACTGGGCTGAGAGTTTGCATTCTCCTTGCTGGAAATGGCGTGCTCCCATTCCTCCCGCACTCGCGTGGCCTCCATACGGATGGCCTGGACGATATGGGCACACACCTGAGGAGGCAAACAGTCAGGTGTGGAGTAACTGCTATTTTACAGAGACTTGGGAACAGGAAAAGGCTGGCTGTCTACTGCCTGAAATGGAACCTCATAAGTAATGGATATAGAACGCTCTACAAATGCATCATACAAATACTCTTCCTCACACGAAAAGCACTCACAATCCGCTGAAGTCTGATGTCAAGCACCACTGTTTCTGGCTCAAACTGCTCTACCAGATCCCAAGAGCAACAGAAAATGCTAATATAGACTCACAGTGTGATGTAATACTACTGGAAATCATAATCCTAACCTTTATCTCAATAGAGAAATATCAGGTGCTCTGATAGTAATTATTTATTAATGATTAAAAAAAAAAAAAAAATATTAGCCTAAATATGTGCTATACATAAAAAATGCTCATAAAGATGCTGGACCCAGAAACAGTATTTGATACATCACAACTTAATAAGCGGAATAATTTGGTTAAACTGCCTTTGACTATCTCTAAAAAAATACAAACGTCATTGTAGAGTTCTGACCATATGCGTATGCAAATTTGAGGTTGTGTTGAAATATTTGAACTTTTGCGACTGGACCATATGTGACTGTTCAAATAAAAAAATATGAGCATGAGGTAAGACAAAATGTTAACCATTAAAAATTGTTTGGTTATGAATATTTATGTCCTATACAATTACCGGTACTTTATAGTGGTTATAAAATATTACAATTAACCCTAGAAAACTTACTATGCTTTTTTCGCCCAAACATACTGGTGTCCATGTATTTTGTGTATTCATACATTCATTACTCATTAATTTTACCACGGAAAATAATAACCTAATAAAGCACAAATATTGGCTAAACAACCCATTTTTACTAAGACAGAACTGTTTTTGCAGATTTTTATGTAATTTATTTGTTTATAATCAACACTTTTTCTGCCATCTTGGATGGATTTTTAGGCAGCTTGCTTGGTTTTAGAGAGAGCCGAGAGTTGTTTTAATGGTGTTACCTGTTTCTGAAGGTTGGTCAGTTTGCTCCTGCTGAAAATAATGCCAACCATGTGCTCTTTCAAGTCTGCATCAGATGGAGCCTGAAGACGAAACATGTGTAACATAATTGAACAACTTCATCTTATGCTTCAACACCTGATATGGTTGAAACGAGCCACCAAACACAACAGATGCTGGTACTGACCTTGTCTTCACCCTCGGGTGAGGAGAGCAGGTTCTTCTCTTCTTGTTCTGGTGTTGGTTCTGCATCCCCACAAATTAGTTTCCCAAACACCTACACAAACACATAAACATGACTTTTGCCTTTCCTTAAACGATATCTGTGAACGAGTGTTTTACAGAGTTTGATGTACAGTGGTACTGGAACCGTACTGCGGTTTGTGCCTTCATGAGCCGTTTGAGAAGGTTTTTGGCCTCACCTGTGATGTAATGAGGCGGAAGACACGCAGCGTCTCAGCCTCGCAGTTCTTCTGCTGAGATACACTGGCTGATATCTGCCCAGCAATCTTGATGCTCTCGCCCTCCTTCCAGCCAAGCACTTTGACCTGCCGTACCCTAAGCGTGTTCTCAGGACCCTTAAGCTCGATCTTGATCACGTGGTGGTCTCCTCCAGGCAGCTCACTGGTCACCCAGCCCATGTGCCTCGAGTCTAAGTCAAGCTGAGACAACAAAAAGTCCATTCAGTGAAACGAGCCTATTTCAAACTGACTTAATGTCATATGCAGAAGTATAGATCATCAGAGGACGCGTTAACACAACTTTTTTTGTAAAAAGGTTCACAGATAATCTCATTAAGTCATTTAAGTCCCACCTGTTTGATTCTGCAGAGATCTTCCACAGCCTTCCCACAAAGGAATATCATTGACGTGACTTTATTCTAACAGAACACAAAGCACAGGTTATATAAATTACTAGATGTTTAAAGATACATGTATAAATGATATTACAAAACAATCAACTCAAACTAGAAAAATGTGACAAAATGTCATATCTGAAGGTTTGAACGTTATATAGGCTTTATGCACTTTGAACACTTCATAAAATCTATACAGAATTACCAGTTGGCCAACATAGAGAGCGGTATTAATATACTGACTGGGAAAGAACAGACAGAAAAACTAAAAGAACAATAGTTTGCAAACTCACTCCAATGTCACGAGAGTTGTCGACATGGACAGAGACATATGAGGCATTGATGCCTTTGACACAGCTGATAGTGATGCTCTTTGTTTTGTTCTTATCTTCATCTCCAGACTCCCAGAACGTCTCAGTGGAGCCATCAGTCAGGCTGCCGATCATGGCTGGTCGGCTGGATGTTTTAATGTCTACCACGCTGGTCAGATCTTTCAGACAGGTGACCACACAAAGTTCCTGCAATACATGTAAAATACCTTAATTGTGATTTAAGCTCATTTAGATGTTGGCTTCTGCCAAATGAATAAATCTAAAGGCAACAGGAAAGAAAGCCTTTGTTGTCAATCCACGTAGATGAAGGTAATGGAAAGTTTCCCACCTGACTAATCGCTTCGTATCCCGACTGTACGCTGATGTTAAAACTCTCCTCACTGTCCCCATCATCTGATTTGGACAGGATGTTGTTGATGTGGTGAAATACGTTACTCTGGTGCAGGAACTGATGATCTGATTGTTTGAATTTCAGACTCCAACATCTAATGAAACAGCCAAACAAATACTAGATTTGTACATTTATGAAGACAATGTTAGTTGAGATTGCATGTGCAAAATTTGCCAGCATCATTTATCATCAGGAGGTTGCAAATGGTGTCTCTATGAACAGGCAAAAGATACCTGAGGGCCATCTGCTGAAGTGAGCTTCCACTGGGAAGTGACATCATGAGGTCAGAGATGGTCTGGAGCAGATGGTGGAAGGTGTGGGGCAGCGGGTGAGCCGCCTCTCCTGCGATGAGAATGTCAGACAGGGGGTGCTCACATACACCTAAATCCTTCTCCTGAGAACAAGAATAAAATCATCCTGTTTCAGAAAAACCTCTGTTCATCTTACGTAAAATAGTGACTTCTTAATAAACCATTAGCAGTGTTGTAAGGCCATACCTGCTCGAGGTTCTCCTTGTTCCCTTTGTTCTCGTCCTCCTCCTCTTCTTCCGTCTCAAAGGGAGACGGAGTCAGAGACGCCACAAAGTGCCACAGGATATCATGGAGGGAGGTGGTCTGGGTAACATTACACAGCAGCCAATTAAAAGCCTGAAAAGGAAATGCAGAACAAAAGGTTTGTTAAGAGTTCCCAAAACTTCTGACTAAAATTTTCTAGTCAATTGTGATAAGGATTTTAATACATGTGTTTTACATGGACTTTAATACAGTGACTGCATTATACAATTTAGGACAGGAAGAAGAGGACTGAAAGTCGGCAGAAGGCCAGATATAATGTCGCTGACCTCCATGGCAAACACCCTGCAGGCTGATTTGCGGAGTGCATGCTTCATAGCCACCTCCAGGCCCTCTAGGTCATGATGCTGGATAACAAATGCCAACACAGGCCACTGGAAGTTTCTTTCACCCTTGCTGAGAGAGCCGTGGGCTGAGATCAGTCGAGACAACTCAGGAGAAGGGTGACGAAGCAGTGATGACCCAACTTCTGTAGAAACCAGCAGGTATTAACTCACATTTAAAATGTTTAACTTAGCATCACAATACTAATATTTTAGCAGTGAACAAAAAAACGAACGTTTTAAAATCCAGTATTAATATTTACAAATTAAATCAAAAATGGCATCTAGCATTTCTGGTCAATTATCACTTTTCCTGAATGCAAAGTTTACATTAATCGATTCTAAACTCTGCTTTGATAACTTGAGGACTCAAACATTGTTAGAAGGTATAGGTAAATATTGCTATGCATCATTATATTGGTGCATACAAGCCATTGTAACATGTAGGTTAAACAGTAAAACATGGACCTAATGACACCAAGTTCATGGGTTCAAATCCCAGAGGCTGCAAGAACTACTAAAATGTATACAATCAATGCAATACAAGTTGGATAAAAGCACCAGCCAAATGCAAATTATATACAGAATAACTTTAAAAGACTGAAATTAGTTCAGTCCTGTATAGCAGCAGCACACCTGATGTAAATATATTCTCAGACATCACTCTCTGTCATTATGGTAATAATGATAATTAGCTGAATTAATTAGACATTTGTAACTGTGCTGTACAAAGTGACACAACATTACCTGCATCCCCGCTGTGTACCCTGCGTCTCGGCACTGCTTTGACCCGTGCTGGGGAAGCTGAGTGCTGCTTATCATACTCGGAGGCCACCACTGAATATGAGCGCTGGAATACTGTCCGCTTGGCTGTGTCACTGTCTGTGATTGGACTTGTCTCCAAACTAAAGGAACAAAGTTAAATAAAGAAGTCATACAGAGATAATACGCACACAAAAATGGCTAAATGTTCATAGAACCAGTATTAGAGCATGGCACTTTGGGAGATACATGTAAGAGTTTGTTACAGTACCTTGGGGGCATGGACTTCATGTTACTTCCTGGCTCTTCAAAAACATTGGGGCAGGCATCAGGAGTGACTGAAATATAGGGAGCAGGGACTGACGTAGAACGCAGGTAACGCATCTCATCCTGAAACAAGTTGTCATCTTGATAGGCCCCAAAGTTCTCAGTGTGTTGGCTGCAAAAAGGACATTGAGAAAGACTCAATGAGATACTCAATGCACTGAATTACTACAACAATGCTGCCCGTGGTCATGGTGATCAACATAAGGTATTTACCGGGCTAAAGTTTGCAGATAGAGGCAGCCCATCTTGTTGGGTAGTTCCTCAGACACTCCCTCTTTGAGGCTGGGCAGATGTGCGTGGAAGGGTTTAGGTGGGTGATGGCAAAGTAGACTTGGCTCAGCGGCGCTGCTCAGAGACAGCAGGAACAGTGCATTGGCACGGATCACCTGGTGGGCCTCCATCATGGGCAGAGCCCGTGGGGTTTTCACCTGGAGAGGTTTCTTCCTTGACAGCTTGACCTAATCCAAGAACCACAGGGTTGAACCCAAGAAAGAATCATTCAATGTTTTAGACATCTACAAATATGAATTTCCCTACATTGGTCATGACAGGTATACCTTTTCTCTGGCAGCTGTTTGTTTTTCTCTCAGGTACTTCTCTCTACAACGATCACACACCAAGTACCAGGTGCTTCCTCCAATCCCACCATCTCCACAGTTACCAGCCCAGCCTCCACAAAAGTGACCAATACTGTTATAGCCCTGACCTCCAGCATACCGACCACAGCCTGAAAGAACACAACACAGAAAAGTGATGATATACTCCATATATTGGTCTTTATATCCACTCTGAACAAAACAGAATGGAGTAAGACCCAAGAAATGACGGCACTGTACCTGGGTGGGCCTGTCTCATGTGGTACGTAACAGGGTATGGGTGAGAGTCTCCACACAGCTCACAGATGGTATCCTTCTCAGGGCCTCCCATAGCTAACTGCGCCATCTCCCCAAAGAGGTTCCCCCTGGGGCGAACCTCGGCTTTCTCCTTTTTCTTCTTCTCTTTCTTGGTCTTCTTGCTGTCCTTTTCATTCTCCTTCTTTTTAAGGATAGCACTGGACCCTGGACTCGGGAAGATCATATTCTGTGTAGCCGCTTTTATGGTAGCCATGGATATGTCCTCCCAGAATGCTACTAGGTGCTGGAGGGTGAGAGGCAAGATGGACTTAGACCTCATTAAGTTGCTGGTCATCTCATAGGAGACCGCCTCACTTTTTCCATCCTCGCACTTCTCGGGCAAGGGTGGCTCTTTCAGCATGGACAGAACCTTGTTCTTGTTGATGCTACCCATCTTAGAAATGTCTGGGCCATGTGGTGATATGTTGAACATGTTGAGGGCCGAGGAGATCTCCAGAGAGTGACGGTTCTTCAGTTTGCTCTCCTTCTCTTCAAAACCCTGCTGGCAGCTGAGAGAATTACGGATGGGTGCATGTTCTTTGGTCAGCTCAGGGTTGAACTTCAGGAAGGAAGAGCATGCCATGGCATCATGTACTATGCCCTCATGCCAGAGGAAGGCAGCAAAAACAGCACGAGCACATTCCGCAACAGAAGGCGACATGGCTTGCTTGGCGGGTTCAGCGGGACGCACGTTTTCACCCTTAAAGAGTGGCCCAGATTTGTCTTTTTTGGGTCTCACATGCCTGCTGGAGGTTTTACGGCTAACTTTGGGTGAAGAACGGCTTTCAAGTTCCTCCTTGACAGGGGCTTTTCCAATACTAAAGTGGACCTTGGAAGAGCCCTCTTCAGCATTGTGCAACTCTGCATTCTCATCACTGGCTTCATCATTGGACAGCAAGGTGCTGGACCTACACACCTCCACCACTTCGCTGTGGAGGTTCTCTTGAACTACATGGGGAGATGGGGCTCGGTTCTCAGCAATGCTGCTTCCTCCTTTGCTCTCTTTGGGTGAAATTTTTGGCTTGGGAGATGTAGACCTGCCCCTCAGAGGTTCCATGAAAGGAACCTTCTTCTTTCTGAGCGTGTCAGGGTCTAGCGTATAGGAGTCAGATTTGGATCTCTCACGAGGAGGGTCCAGGTGAGCTTTAGAAGAAGGACTAACTTTAGAGGGCAGGTTCTTATCGTGAGGAGAGGATGAACGTGGAGAACTGTTGATGGAAGGGCTAGATCTACCCGAACTGAAGGTCTTCTGTTTGGGTGAGGAGGAACGGGAGCTAGGTTTCGGAGACTCAGCCCTAAGGCCTGAGGTTCGGCCATCAGCTTTCAGGGCTTGTAGCGTGTTGTGGTTAGGGGAATGGGAGCGGCTGTGAGAGTCAGACCGCAGTTTGCCGGTGTCTGATTTGAGACTGAGGGCCTCGCTGGCAGACAGACTGTCATTGTTCTTGCTCTTCACCTGGTCAACAGATCGACTAGAGTGACTGTCCGTTTTGGAGGATCGACTCTCTTGACGATGCTTGCTGCCTGGAGACATAGACCGACTGGCCAAGTTATCCCTGTCACCTGCATATCATAACACACCAACAGTTACCAATGTGCAACTCATTTGTGCAGGAGGCACTCCGCAAAGACTTGTCAGGCGTTTTCACATAAGTAGGAAGAAATTAAAATAAAAAAACAAGACAAAAAAAAAGACATCTGAAAATGTAAGGGAAAAATAATTTACAACATAATAGGAACTTAAGAAACCAAATGTAAAACAACAGAAGTAAAATTTAAAATGACATCTACAAGAATCCACTGAAATCCAAGAATGACCTTAAATTTCAATTTACTGACCAACATTTATTTACATAAGACTTTAAGATAGCAAATGCATAAATATTGATGCAAATGGAAAGCACCCAGGTCATGGGAAATGTTTTGTCAAGCTTGTAAACTTGCCCCCATATATATTCCAAAGCACTACATACTCTGTTGCCATGCCTAAGAGGGGAAATAAATGGACTGTGGAAGAGAGAATGACATGAAACCCCTCCCTGTAGTGAGTCTCCAGGGTTCTCCCAGGAGAAGACATGCATTACCCACCCTTTTGTCTGAGAACAAGAGATGAGAGAGTGGTGCCAGGGCCGGTCGCATTGCTTTTGTGCACACGCTCACGTGAAGCAAGGCTGCGTGATGAAGCATCTACAGCGGAAAACAGTGGCAAGGAAAGTAAGCAACAAGGCTTGAACCAAGGAAAACCATCAGAGAATGAGAAAGAAAGTGAGAGCCAATGAGCAATGAAGAGTGGAAGAAAGAGTGTATGAGGAAATAAGGACTATGGCCCTGTTTACACTTGATATTAACAATCGTATTGGGTGATCTAATCGCAAGTGGACAACTGAGATTTGTAGTTTACACCTGGTATTAACATGCAATTCAAATGTGTCAGTGACTACTTCGTTTTCAAGGGGAATATTAAAGATTTTGTGACTACATGTATAACATAAAACATCAGTTGCTATAGCCCCTTTCACACATATAGTCTTTACTAGTAAATTACTGGTAAATTACCATTAGGAGATCATGTGTGAACAGGACCTTTTCAAAAATACAGGTAAATTTGTTCTGGCAATTTATCGGCAATTTACCGGTATGAGAAGATGTAACATTACCAGTAACATTACATAACATTACAGAGCAAGACCACCCCTTTATGCCTGTCTCTCAGACTTCAAATATCTTGGACAGATAGGGAAACTAAAGTGCTTCTACTCGCGTGGGCGAATGAAAACAACGGCGTGGTTTTTAAAGATCATTCTGTTGACTGACATCACAGAATTTATTGGTATTTTGGAGCTAATGTGTGAATGGTCTCTTACTGGTAAAAAGCCAGAACACCGTTGCTTGTGTGAATAGCATATTTGTGCATTTACTGGTAAAATCCTTCTGGCCATTTTACGGTAATTTACCGGGACTGCTGTGTTAAAGGGTCTAATGTTCAAAACAGATGTAATACATGTGCTCCTGATATAAAGGCTATTTTAGAAAGTATGCATCTTAATTATGCATCCTCCATATACACACTGTTCTAATTCTAAGGCAGCATTACAAATATAATTTGTTTGCTTCCAGATATACATTTAAAGTTTTAATCTCACCCCAAATATGATGTTTTAAGTGGAATGCTCATTTTAGTCAAGCTACTACATTAACTGAGCATTTTAGATTATCTGTGTAATTGCAGAGAAGTTCTGTAAAGTCTTGTGCATGCATATTTATGATTTAAAAAAAATAATACTTACATGTACATACTACACAGGTAGTTTAAAATTAATATTATAATGTAATTAAAAAACCTTGTTTTGGTGCAATGGAATATTAGTGGGTCAGTAGACAGACAATGTTGTCTAGGATGCATTAGTATTTACACAACAAGTGCAGTGTTTCTGACTACCTCCAAATTGGCTGACAAAAATTATACACAACCTCATTAGAGCCCTGCAATTGGTGATCGGATCACCCACGATGGATGTTAACACTAAGTGTAAACAGGGTCAGAGGAGCATCTAGGTACTGGGAAAGATGTATGAATAGAGAAAAAGCAACAAGTAGAAGGACAGACACTGTGAGAGAGACAGAGTCTGGTAGAAGAAGGCACAAGACTAAAACAAAACTGGGCATCAACCAGTGCAAGTTAGGGTGGCAGAAGAGTGAGAATAAAATATTAAGAATTGTAATGAATCTGAAATGCAGATTCAGAGTATTCTGGCTGTGGAAAATATTGAGACACTTGCGCCTGAAATATCCAAAAAAATCGAAATTAATTTTTCTTATGCAGACATATGCATTGTGGTTTCCACTGGGGGATGCAATGCTAAAGCACTGCATGGTTTTGATTGCGTGGACGGATTCCTGGACCTCTTGGTAATTATTTAGCTAATGAATGATCAAATTAAGCACTGTACATGTAGCAAGCAAAAAAGAAAAATGCAATCAAATTAACAGAAACATCTGACATGAAACACACACACTGTTAGTAGCTACAATAGAAACAGAAGAGGAGCTTAAATGTTACTTGGCCACTGAAGTTAAAATGAGATGAGAAAGAAAAGAATCACCAATTCAAACATAGCAAGCAAGCGGGTGGACGTCGACAGAAAAGCAGGGGAAATAAGCCTGAACGGATCTTAACACAACCTATGGGACACTAAACAAATAAGCGCTTAAGACAAGCACCGCCACTACCTTATAGACGTACAGACTTACTCGGAAGCTGTGGATGCGGTTGAGGCTGCTGGGAAAGGGATTGTCCAAACACAAATGGGCTGTGGACAAGGGAAGAGGGAGGTTTGGCAGCTTGCTCAAATATGGAAGGAGTTGGGAGGAAAGGCCCAGACTGAATGGAATTCAGTATGGCACTCAGCCGGTCACCTGCAATGCGGAAGACAATGGGAGTGCTGTAGCTTATATGATCCTTAAAAGGAGCCATACAAAACGCTCGTCAGTTTAACGCCCCACACAAGCACGCACGCTCACTGGAAGTAATGGGGTGTGTGAGTGGGTCAGCTGAACCAACGTGAGGGGAATAAGGAATGGCCGGGGGAGCCGTTGGGTTAGGTTTTCATGAAACCTCATATCTGGAACATCTACAAGGTCACAGATAAAACATTGGCAGACAAAGCCAATACTCTGCTTTCATCCCTTTTATAGTGCAACTCGTGGAAATTCTGTGGGGGGAGGGGGTTTGTCCAAATTGTATCAAACATTTTAATACTAACCTAACAAGTAGCATGACATTACTGAAAACTAAGATTTTAGCGGAGTTGTTAAAGTCAACATGAAAAGACTTCCATAATGCAATGTGTGTCTGACAAGATAGTTATTGAGGGAAGAAAAAAAAAACGTAGGGTGGGAACTGATTTTATCTAAGGAACTGATTGAATCACAAAAAGTATGCATTTCATATGAAAATGGAACATGTATCAGAGTTTGCAGTGAATTGTGAGAAGGCTTTTTGACTGTTTAAGGTCAGGTTCACCCTTGAGAACAGGTCAAGGTATCCCAATAGAAGCATTTATGATAATTCTTAACTTTTTTGTTAACTGATTACTGCCGTAATCTTTATTGTATTACATTAACATTATCAAAGGACTGCATTTTTTATTTTTTACATTATTTGCAAATATTGGCAGGAATTTAGAAAGATGACCTGGACATCCCACTGGCCGTAAAGGAAAGTCTTTAGAGAAAGAGCAAGTTAATACATTTTAAAAATTAGGAAGACTTATTTTTCTTTGGAATGTCAAGCAATTTTAAGGTTAATATTGACTTCATGTTGACTTTTAATCAAGTAGCATTTAGTTAAGCACCATAGTTACGTCAAGGGTATTTTATTCACATAGACTTATTAAGTATAAGAGGTGATGAAGGACCCATCAGACAGCGGTCTATGGGTAACGCCACTAAGCAGCGGAGCATGAGAACAGTATGGTGAGAGCCAGTGGACACTAAATGGGTAAGACCCAGCTGCAGCACACAGAGTCCTGCCCATGCACACAATGATGCCTTCACACGCCACAGAAGACAGCCAAGACACAGATCACAGCATGCAGAACACAATTACTCTGATTACACAGAGCTGAATTGAGACAAATGATTGTGTGTTTGCTTATTAATCAGGGGTCATACAGCACTTTAAATAGATAAAAGACATTGTTTTCATGTCCATTATATCCAGGGCTCCATGATGTTTCCAAGACTTTTCCTGTTGTTTGTAATTACTGGACAAGGATTTAAAAAAATCATTTATATGGGAAGTATACACTACCATTTGGGGGCCAGTAAGATTTTTTTGTAATACTTTAATACTTTTATTCAGCGAGGATGCATGAAATTGATTTAAAGTGACAGTACAGACACTTATAATGTTACAAAAGTTTAAAAAATTGCTGTTCTTTTGAACACACCTCATCAAAGTATCCTGAAAAAAGCATCAGGGTTTCTATAAAATGATTAAGCAGCAAACTGTTTTCAGCATTAATTAGAATGATGGCTGCTGAAAATTCACCTTTGTCATCACAAAAATAAATTACATTTGAACTGTATTAAAATATAATTACATTTAAAATTATTTTAAATTGCAATAATCTTAAGTATTATTTTAAATAATTATATTTCACAATATTACTGTTTTACTGTATTTTTGAGCACAAGACACTTCTTTTAAAAACATAAAAAATATTACCAACCCCAAACTTTGAACGATACTGTATGTTTGGTAGGAAAAAAATTAATTCTGGCCCACAACATTTAATTTCCACTTTTAACCTACAAAGTTTTTACTTCAAGACCGAGACAATTTTAAGGAACATAAAGGAAATCGCAGTTACTAAAACATGAACACAAAAATCCTGGATGACTGGCTATTCTACCACAGTTGGATTGGCATCAATTTTGTGAAATAACATTTAAAATCAGGGAATAAACTACCAAGATATATCTGATCAAATATGACATTTAGCAGGAGCATGGTAGGGGTGGGCGATATGACCAAAATCTTATATCACGATATGAGTCATTTTAATTCACTGTAACTATATCACAATATAGTTATTTTTGTTTTAAACAAGTTCTTTCTGATATCAAAATGTTTGATACCATAGAAATGTCATAATTCTTGTCACTAGTGTCAATATCACAAAAAAAAACTAATACTAGCCTAAGTGAATAAATAAAAAAAAAAAAACTCAAGCTCACTGTAGACAAATAAAAAGTCAGCAATTAAATAAGAATAAGAAACTAAGTACAAGCAATAGGACAAAAAAACCTACAGTAGAACAAATAAGAAATGCTACGTACATTGTTTAAACCAGGGGTGCCCAAACTCGGTCCTGGAGGGCCGGTGTCCTGCAGAGTTTAGCTCCAACTTGCCTCAACACACCTGCTACAAAGTTTCTAGTATGTCTAGTAAGAGAGCTTGATTAGCTGGTTCAGGTGTGTTTAATTGGGGTTGGAGCTAAACTCTGCAGGACACCGGCCCTCCAGGACCGAGCTTGGGCACCCCTGGTTTAAAGTAATCAAATGTATAAAAACACTGCATATTCTTCACTGTCAATTAAATATATATTTTGTCTTATTAAATTTACAAAAGTGATTTAGTCAAGAGCAGCGAGAGATTTTCTTGTTGTTGTTTGATTAACATGAATAACAGACAGTCAGAATATTGGACTGCTGTCACTTTAAGAGCTGCCCAGATCCAATATAATGTTACACATGTGTTTTCTTTCTCAGCTGTTTCAATGGCTTAGAATCACTTGTTTTTAAACTGCAATGCTTAAAAACGTGTGCAACTATATGTAGCACAGCAACATCATGTGAGTGTGTAACCGCGATAGAGACAATAGTCAAAAATCTCTAGCAGTTGACAAATTTCTACTGGTGTCTACCGGACTATCGCCCACCCCTAGAGCATGGTATGAAAAAAGATGAAATTGAATCATATAAACAAAGGTGTAACTGTCACTTAATAATAAAGCACTCCTAATAAATCTCTCCAGGATCTTTACTCTCACCTTTGTTGTTGATGCAGTAGTCGAAGCCCTGAGCTCCCGAGCTGCCCATGCCCCTGTTAAACGCCTGGACTGAGAACGGGCTGGGGGGAGGGGTCTGGGCTCCATGCTCCAAAATTGCTTGCTCTGTTCCAGAGAGAAACAAAATGCATTAATAATCATCAATAACTAACAGCCAGCTGAATTTCAACTTGTGGTTTAAGCATGCTCTATTTCATTACTGGTTTCCTATTTAAAGAAACAGTTCACCTAAAAATAGAATTGTACATTAGAAATGCTGCTTTTGCAACTAACTGAAATAAGTTTAAGTACGTGTGTTAGCGTTACCTTCCTCGTGACGCAGGTACTGGTTTCCCCCTCCGTCTCGGGCCAGAGACCAGGCCTCCCCCTCATCGCTCTCACAGAACTCCACCACACTGTTCTTATCCAGCTGAACCCAAGTGCCCTCCGAGTTAATCACCTGATACAGATACAGCTTTATTTACCTCCTCTCTATCACACACACACACACACACTACATCAATCCAGAGGAGCATGACTGATTAGCAAGCAAAACTCAGTGGAGGCTCTAAAATGACAGCGCATTTAGAAACGTGAAAACAATTATATGATGTACCCTTCAATTCTCAGGATTTATGGATTGAAACCAGTTCGAACAAAGACACTGTTTTAAATTTGACGTGAGAAGAATAGCAGTATGTGTGTAAGTTGGGAGGCTCAGAGACAGTGACTTTAGGAGAGCATTTGAGGACAGCATGACACACCACGCCCTCTACTAAGAGAAGAAAGAGGCAAAGTCCAGCCCTTCCATGATCACACGTGGAGACCATTCAAATGCCATAAAAGACAGGTGTTTACCAAGATTGTGCGCCATTCAGAATTCCCATTCAATTCCTGAATTTGAATTGTGACAAAACCAGATGCAGAATTGTCATTTGAATTTAAGGAAGTACAATTATAATGAAATAAAATGTAAAGAAAATTCATCTAAATTGAAGTAGGTTTAACTAGGGATGTTCATTTCGGTTATTTTTTCTAACCGACAACCGACGCTCATTAACCAATTGTTAACCGTTAACCGACAAGATTATTTTAAATTAGAATTTAATTAAATTAGAAAGGATAAGTGTCTGTGACTCGTTAAAAAATACTAACATTTGTTTTCCGGGGATTCATTTTACATGCGCAAAAAGCAGCAAACAACAGAACATGAGGATTCACATGGTCATCATATCACATCACGCACCTGCAGCGCTTCTGCCAGCGGAGAAAAACATAATAAAGCTAGGCTATATATATATATATTTATAAGCCTATATACAGTATATATATGCAGAGTTTCGGTTCATTTTTGTGCTGTGCGAAAGGAAACAGACGACAGAAAGCGGCATCCTATTTTTCTTTTAGGCTTATTTTACAAAAGCACAAAGATTTGTTTTTATTGTGAATGTACACAAATAAAGGCAAACCTTTTACAATTCCGATTATCTTTAGGACTAAAAGGAGTAGTTTCTTCCACTGTTAGAAGGAAAAAATTCAAGTGATTCCGCCGGCACCGCATGCGCACACTCAGTTAAGCATTGCTACCTTGACAATAATGCAGCCTGTTCATTATCATAATAAAATAGTCAGTCAGTCAAACATATGGGAAAAAAAACCTATGTAGTAAAAAAAAAAAAAAATATGTAGTAAAATCTGTGCCGTTAAGTGTTATCACTGCACCGCCGTGATGTTATGCAAAACACTTTGTTTTACGTGGATATTGGAACGCGAGTGAAGTAGGCTACATAATAAATAATAATTTACCATTCAAATACATCGCGAATACAGAAACGTTTGATTTTGTGTGGAATGAGAGACGCAACGTTGGTTTCAGTTTCGTTTTAGCCTAAATTAATTTTATATTGTCGTTTATATTGCTATAGCTTCTTATATTTTTAATTCTTGTTCTTTTCTAAATACTGTTAATTGAAAGGATTTGTTGTGGAGTGAGGGGAACTAAAATAGCCTAGCTATGTTTACAGTGTTTATTATAATGTTTGTAAACATTTTGTGTCGGCATTAGGCCTATTTCTGAATGAAACAATAAAATGCGACTTATACGCGACTTATGTTTTTCCCCCTAAAAAAACATTTTTTTTTATGCGCGTAGCGTATTTTAACCACGCAGCAAACCTTTTTAAATATTTTGATTCATTACTGAAAAAATAAATAATGAAATGACTTTTTAAACCGTTTAACTGATTGTATTAATCGGTCAAAATTCTTACGGTCGGTTAACCGGCTAAAATGGACATCCCTAGTTTTAACAATAATTTGTTAGTATTTTTTTCTACATTGTCTATTCTACAATATCAACATTGTTACCTATAGAAAGTATAACACAACATAATATAATACACTAGGGTATCTAGAGAAGTTATAATACAGCATAAAATAACAATATATAATATAATAATAAATTGACATAATTACTCAAAGTAATGATGTAATTATTTGTGTTCTGTTTCACAACAAAAATGTGCATGTTTGAGTAACTGAATTTCTTAGAATTACAATTCATTAAGTTGCTCTTCCTATCATTCCAATTCAAAATCCAGTTCCACATCCTATGGGTCAGAACTAATTCAATTCAAATTCACAATCCCAAATTAAAAGGAAACCTATTCTTAATTCTGAATTTTGCTCAACCCAGGTGTTTACAGAGTGGAAATTATCATATGACTTCAGTTTTTTTTTTAATTCACAAGCCTCATCTGTCATTATTGTTAATAGGTAATTAGGATCATTTATTAATTGCTGCATCACACAGATATTCCTAAAGAACATGCCAGATTATACTGTACTGTTACTGTGCAAAAGCTGAAGCCATGCTTGGTGATTCTTGACAGGGGCTTTAATAATGTGAACAGAACAACACCACACCCACGCCAGAGCCATAGCATGTATGGCCTTTATGAAAAGACGTTACACAAAGGGTTCTCTAATCGTCTAAAGAAAAATGAAAAATTTGTGTTACAGAAACTGCAGAACTAGCAAGAAATCTGGCTAATTAGTCATTTATTGGCAGCCACAGTAACACAGTTGGGAGTCCATACCTCGCCTACAGCCTTGACTTTGTTCCCCAGAACTAACATTCCAATGGGGATACCTCTAAGGTTTGGGCAGCTTCTGATGTTGTGACCCGAAGGTCCGGTCTTCACTACCTTATAAAGACCTGGTCCGCCACCCTGGCCTGCGCCCAGGTCACGTACATTGGCATCCTGGGAAGGGTGGCCACTGGTCTCCTTTCCATAATCATCCAAATCTGACCTGCCCTCCTGCAAAACCAAAGGACACTGGTTAATTTAATTTTTAAAGTAAGTGGTGCATTATAAAATGTATGTTTTCAAAATATTCAATCTATTTTTTAGATTAAGACAATAAAACCAAGAGCCAATGACAAATAAGGATGTCCTATGTGATGAAAAAAAAAACTAGTTTAACAGTTAATACTATTTTCAACAAAGAGAGATTATGGTAGGACAATTGCATAGGACAATTGCACAACCTTGACATTTTTGTCCCTTAAAAAATATATATAAAAATGAATTTTAATTCAAAAATTGAAAATACATTTCATAGAAGCAGCACATTCAAGTAAGGTTAATGTATTTTTGAAAATAATGTATATACATAAACTTGCCAATTGTGCTTCTAAATACAAAGAAAGACAATCTTTACAAACATCATCTTATCCTAACTGTGACTTGTAACTAATTAGGTTGTGGAATGAAGATCATTATAACAAACATAACAGTGTGTTCTGATGTCAAGTTCTGCTGACTAATACTATATAGACATGCTGTTCATAAACTGACAAAAATCATTTTACCTTTGTGTGAGGGAAAACAAAAACATGCATTCACATATTCCGCTTTAAGAAGTCGTTCACCCAAAAATTAAAATTCTGTCATTATTATTATGCATTATGTTGTTATTTGTACCATGGAACACAAAAGGAGAATTTTGAAGAATCTTTTCCATATATGGTTGGACTTCTTTAACATCATCATCAAACTTATTTGCATAAATTGTTTTTCTGAGCTTAAAGGGTTAGTTTACCCAAAAATGAAAATTCTGTCAATAATTACTCACCCTCGTGTTGTTCGAAACCCATAAGACATTCATTCATCTTCGGAACACAATTTAAGATATTTTTGATGAAATCTGAGGGCTCTCTGACGCTCCCTTAGACAGCAAGGTAACTACCACGTTCAAGGTCCAGAAAAGTACCAAGATGATCGACAAAGTAGTCTGTGTGACATCAGTGGTTCAACTGTAAAGTTACGAAGCTACGAGAATACTTTTTTGCGCAAAAAACCCCCCCAAAATAATGACTTTATTCCAAACTTTCATCTCTACTGCGTCACTTTGGATGCACGTTCACGATAGTATCATGACGCGAGCGTGTTGCGGCGCTGACCCAGATCCGGCGTGATGACGTCATTACGCCGGATCTGGGTCAGCGCCGCCACACGCTCGCGTCGTGATACTGTCGTGAACGCGCGTCCACAATTCTCGTAGCTTCGTAACTTTACAGTTGAACCACTGATGTCACATGTACTACTTTGTCGATCATCTCAGTACTTTTCTGGGTCAATATTAACTGTCAAAGTGTGAAAATTCCTCAAAAATGTATTAACCTTTTGTGTTTCATGGAAGAAAACAGCATACACATTTTTAAAAAGGACATGAAGGTGAGTAAATAATGACAACGTTTTTATTTTGTGGGTGAACTATTTCTTTAAATCCTCATGCAACTGAATTTCAATTGTTTTAATTGTGAACTACGACATGAAAACGCAAAAAGCTTTACCCAAGATTAACATAAATGTAATGTAATGACCATTAGGTTCAAAACGTGTTACTGGAAACTTTGTGCATACAAGGAAAAGATGGTAAAATATTTTTGTTTCACTCACACAATTTACACAATTAAACATGCAACTCTGATGATTCTCCAGTACTACATGTAAAAATCACAATCTGAAACGTCTCAAAAACATGAGAAACACTGGCGAAAAGCAAAGCAGCAGCCAAGCTACACACACCTCATCTCACAACTCACCTGAGGAAAACAAGATAAGGTCGTCCAAGACAAAAAGTCGATATCCCTGACTCCTTGGCTAGTGCTAAAGATATTCTGAGCAACAGATTATAAGCAAGTCAAAACACGATCGGGAATTCCCTTCAATTAGAAACGCAGATGGCATGGCTCGCCTTTTTTTGGAAGAGATGGATTTGTTGCAGTGACAGTTTCTTTATGTGCATTTTAATTCTTTTGAATTTTCTTCATGAGACAGTACAAGAAGAATTTGACGGCAGAGAAGAAGGTCTAGCAAACAAAACGATCCCAATTCTGCAGAAGATTGTGCTCCAATTGCAACAGAATTTAAATCACATCAAAATACGGCAAAT